AAAATATATATATGTCATTTTATAAATGCCGGCGCTTATAAATTTACTCGATTATAAGCCCACCCCCCCCAAAAAACCTGTTTTATTATTGCCCCCCATGGGGGTATATCCGGGGTATGACGGTATGTGTAAGATAGAGGGGAGGATGAACGGGGAGTTATACCGTTCTATCCTTAAGGAGGAACTGCAGCAGACAATAGAGCATTACGAGCTGGACCCTGAGGCAGTAGTTTTCCAGCATGACAACGATCCCAAGCATACATGCAAAATGGTGAAAAGTTACCTAGCCGAGCCGCCCTACTCGGTTCTCCCTTGGCCAGCATCAAGTCCAGACCTCAACCCCATTGAGCATCTGTGGGTGTACTTGAAGAAGCAGCTGCTTGCTTACCCCCGCCCCCCTGCAGGCATTCTCGAGCTGTGGGACAGAGTTCAAGTGGAATGGGAGAAGATCCCTGCAGCCTGGTGCAGTGAGCTGATCGACAGCATGCCTAGGCGTGTGCGGGCTGTGCTCAAGGCCAAGGGTCGCTGGACCAAGTACTAGATTCGGCTTGGCATGACTGTGAAACTGAAACTGTAAAAAATTGTCCATATGGTAGTATCTTCTTATTGATATAACAGATGCTGGTTCAACCGTGTTAAAAGTCTTGAAGCCACGTGAGACGATGTACTACCCTCCGTGCTATAACCTTATGGCGGCCTTTCATTAAGGCTTAATCCCCGCTAGCATCCAAGCACATTCTTCTTTTAAAACATGAGCATGTGGACAATTATTTTGTTCAGTGTACCTTCAGTTTAGCCGACTTAGGTGCGCCCTACCTATTTCGTTCGTAGGCCAGCAGCTGCGTTAGTCACCATGGTCGACACTGTAGTTGATGCGGGCGTAGCGGACACCTTGGAGGCACGACTAGCTAATGCGAGGAGACGCCACGCAGCTGGCGAGGGGTGTTATGGACGGCCGACGGGGAAGTCGGCGACGTTCAGGCGCGAGGGATGCAGTCGTCGGCGGCTGCAGGCTCCTCGCAGGGTGACGTCGGTGGATGTCGAGGCGGCGTGACCCACATGATCGCGAACGAGATAGCGCCGATCTACGGCTACTTCAATTTCACGCCGGACAAGATCGCGGTCAATCCCCTGCTGGTCGGCCGCAACGATCTCCTCGCGTGGAAGGAGGTCATCGAGCCCCAGCTGGAGATGGCCGGGCTGATGTGCTTCGCCAACGGCTCCGTGGAGACGCCGCCGGAGAGCAACCCTGAGCTGCGTGTGGAGTTTCGCGCCGTGCATCTGCTGACCTTCACGGTCATCTCGCGGTGCTGCTCACCGGTGGTGCAGATTGCGTTGAAGTCTTGCCGGCGTCACCTGGACGCCGGGCATCAGGCGTGGCGGTTCATCACGGCGACGCACCAGGTCACCGACGACCTGTACATTGGCCAGTTGGAGGAGCAGATGACGCACCTGCGGATGGGCGAGCAGGAGACGGCGACCGACTACTGCAACCGAGCTCGGCGTCTCCTTGCGTGCATGCGGATGGCCTGCTTTGAATACTCCACGGCGTCGTACATCCCACACGTCATCAAGGGGCTCCCGAGTGGCTACAACCTGATGAAGCGGATGATGGTGGTGCCGGGCACGCGGGAGTCGCTCAATGAGGACTCGCCGACCTCGTACATCCTGAGGGACGAGGCGATGCACGAGGCCGAGAAGTCCACGGAGTTTCTGCCGCAGGCAAACTATGTCGCCTCGACGAAGCAAGGTGGCTGACCGGGGTAGCGCGGCAAGCTTGGCAGCGCTGGTAGCGGAGGTGGGAAGTCGGCCAAGGATGCCGACAAGGGGAAGTCGGCGAAGGACAGCGGTCGTGGAGGAGGAGGGCGACGCCGGGAATGCTGGCTGTGCGGCGACCCCGACCACCTCTCCTTCGAGTGCCCCGACCGCAGTGACTCCGACGACGATGCCAAGGGAGGCCGCGGGAGGTCGGCCAGCCGTCGTCAACTTCGGGAAAGCAAGCCACGCAATGAGAAGCAGTCGAACAAGTCGACCTCGGCGAAGGACGCCGACTCCTCCACAGGCGGTAAGGGGCGAGGCGACTAGGAGGCGTCGTGCTCGTTGGTCGGCGTCATAGAGCCGGCCGTCTCGCTCGCGCCAGAGGCTGACGAGGACTTCCTGGCGGTGGCAGCAGCCTTGCAGGCAAATCCGGCAGTGGTTATGCTCGACAGCGGCTGCTCGTACCACATGATGGGGACGAAGGAGGCCTTCGTCGACTTGGAGTCGAGCAACAAACATCAAGCACGTGCGCGGCTTCAATGGGGCGCTGCAGGACTTTGCGGTCATGGCACCGTCGCTCGGCAAGAGGACGCCGGGAAGCAGGTGCTCATCCCCGATGTTCTCTACGTCCTGGGCGTGCAGGCAAACCTGCTTTCGGCCAGCCAACTGAAGGAGAGCGACGTGAAGCTGCAGGACGACAGCGCCTGAATGATTCTCGTTTCAGCGGCGGGGGGCGTGCTTGGTCGGGCGAAGTACATCGGCAGGGTCCTATGCACCGACTTGCACCCGTGCTCCGAGACGCCGGCGTCGGCGCCGTCTGAGGCGATGGTCTCAGCGACGAAGTCGACGCCGGCCAGGTGGCATGCTAGGTTTGTGCATGTTGGTGTCGACACCATCACAAGCTCGGCGAAGCATGAGGTTGCCACCGGCCTTGACATCAAGCCGTCGGCCGGCACCGGCTCTCCGTGTTTCTCGTGCGTCGGTGGGAAGCTGGCACGGCACACCTTCCCCGACAAGGGCTCGGACGCCGAGGACGCTCTGGCTGTTGTGCACATCGACCTGTGCGGGCCATTCCGGGTGGCTGCCAAGGATGGCAGCTTGTACTTCTTGCTGCTGAAGGACCACAAGACTTGCTACGTGTGGGTGAGGCCGGTCGCCAAGAAGTCCGACGTGCTGCGGGAGTTTGAGAAGTGGTTGGTGGTAGCTGTGCGGCAGACAAAGAAGTCGGTGTTGATGCTGTGCTCTGACCGGGGAGGGGAGTTCCTCACGAAGGAGTTCACCGCCTTCGTGGACGGCAAGGGGATCGTCCACGACTTGACCTGCCCGTACACCCCGCAGCAGAACGGCATGGCTGAGAGGGAGATGCGGACGGTGTGGGAGTCGGTGCTGACGATGCTGCTGCACATGGGCGTGCAGCACCACTGGTGGCACCTCGCCCTACGTCAGGCCGTCTGGGTTCGCAACTGCCTTGAGAGGTCATCGCTGCCGCCGGGGGCTTCTTAGCTGCTCACCAGCAAGAAGCCGGACTTGACGCTTGCCTGCGTGTGGGGCTGCATGGCGTGGTTCCTGGTCCCCGAGCAGCAGCGCGGCGGAAAACTAACACCGTAGGCCAAGTGGGGCCTTGACCTCGGAGTGTCGGAGAAGAGATAGGGCTGGGAGATCCTGGACCTCACCGACAACCGGATGGTCACCACGTCGGACGTGGTGTTATATGAGACGATGTCGCTGGAGGTGTGGAAGTCGGAGCACGGGCCGGCGTCGGGGCGGACATCGGCTAACTCGCCGACAGACACCTCCACCGCGACACTCCCTCTGCTCACCGAGGTCGGTGAGCTTGCTGATGAGGGGAGCAGTGGGGCGTCGCCTGTGGCGCCGGCCGAGGGCATCGCCGTTGGCCAACGTGGCGTCAAGCAAGTCGGCGTGGAAGCGGAGCTGACGAAGGCAGGGGAGCAGTAGGCCGAGGAGCCAACGCCGACAAAGGTGAAGTCAGCGAAGGATGTCAAAACTGTATTTGTTGTTTGTATGTTGTAGGCTACAGTGGGGTAGCCACTAAGGGGTACAACCCCTTTAGGGTTTCATACTTGTATCACATTCTTGTCTTAGTTCATCATTCTAGCCTATTCTTCTAACATGGTATTAAGAGCCATAGGTCCTTAGGACCTAATTTTCTTCATCGGGCCCACCTGTTACCGCGTTACCCCCCTGCCCTACCCCGAGTCGCGCTGCCCCTGTTAGCCGCGCGCCACTGCTGCAGCGCGAAAAAAAAAAATTTAGCGCGCTGCTCTGCCTGCCCCACCCCGCGCGCGCTGCTGGCCGCGTCGCGCTGCTGTCGCGTCGTCCCGCCGCCCGCGCGCCTGCCCTGCCCGTGCGCCGCCCGCCGCCGCGCACTGCCCTGCCCGTGCGCAGCCCGCCGCCGCGCCACCTGCCCTACCCGTGCGCAGCCAGCCGCCGCGCCTACCCTGCACGTGCGCAGCCCGCAGCCGCGCCACCTTCCCTGCCCGTGCGCAGCCAGCCGCCGCGCCTCCCTGCCCTGCCCGTGCGCAGCCCGCCGCCGCGCCACCCTCCCCTGCCCGAGCGCAGCGCCGCCCGCCGCACTCCCTGCCCTGCGCGTGCGTGCAGTCCGCTTCCTCCCCTGCCGGCCGCCCCTAACCCAGTGAGCGCCGCCTCCTGCTGCCCTGTGCACGCATCCTGCCGCTTGCCCTTCCTGCCGCCTTGCTGCCCTGCGCTACCAACGATAACGACTTACAATGTTCTCACCTTTGACGCAGAGGGCCGCCCGATCGAATTTGAAACCTGGTTAGACGACCTTAGGATCTACCTTCAGTGCGAGTCTAAGGATCGTGTGTCCCTGTTCGCTCATACGTCTGGTAGCGCTGCCGCCCCTGCAGACACTGCTGACGCTGACACTCGTGACCAGTGGCTTATTCGCGACGCTGCTGCTCGCCTAGCTGTGCGAAACCACCTACCGCTAGCCGAGCGCGCGCACTTTAGCCAACAGAAAACCGCCAAGGACCTGTTCGACGCAGTCGTAGCTCGCTACAGCTCGCCTGCCACTGCTGCGCTAGGCCGTCTTATCCTGCCCTACCTCTTTCCTGACCTGTCCGCCTTTCCTACAGTCGCTGATCTCATCACCCACCTCCGCACTAGCGACACTCGGGTGCGTGCTGCGACCCTTGCCGACTTCCTAACCTAGAACCCTCCCCCTATCCACTACACCCTCTATCTCCTAGTCACTCGCCTCCATGACTCTCTTCGCGCTGTCAGGGACACCTTCCTCGCCATGGACCCCACTGAGCTCACTATAGACCTCCTCGAAAAGCACCTTACAGCGGCCGAGGTTAGCATTAACAATGTAGGCGCTTCTCGAGGCACTCCTCGCACCCCCTTCTTCGAGGGGTGTTCCCCCTCTCCCCTCCTCCCCTCTGTCGCCACTGCTGATGTTGTCGACCTCCTTGGTGCTGAAAAGGTTGGGGTTGCGTCTGCTTCCAGTGGCAGGCGCCGCAGCGGCAAAGGGAAGGGCAGCAAGGGTGGTGGGGGTTGTGGGGATGGAGGCGGTGGTGGAGGCTCGGGTGGTGGCGGCGGGGGTGGTGGGAGCGGCGGGGGTGGGGGTGGGGGTGTTGGGGTCGGTGGTGGCGGCGGCAGTGGGGGTGGCAGCGGCGGAGGTGTCGGCGGTGGGAGTGGCAGCGGAGTCGGTGGCGGTGGTCGCAGTGGTGCGGCCCAGCGCGGCAGTTCTGGAGGCAGCCAGGCACAGCAGCAGCAGCGCCAGCGCCTGCCCCGTACGCCGCAGGACCTTCGTGAGTGGTACGCGCAGCGTCAGTCGCCTGGGGGTGGTGGTACCTGCCCGTATGTCATTCGTACAGGTGAGCGTGCTGGTCAGACCTGCGGGAGGTTGCACACCCAGCACCGCTGCTTTTCCCGCCTTAGTGACGCCTGGCGTGCTCAGTTTCCTGACTGCTCTGAGATGCACAACTGGGCTGAGCTGCTTAGGAGGGGAGTAGAGATCTTTGATCTTGACTATGATGCTATCCTTACTGCCATGTATGCATTGACTGTTAGTGCTGAGGGTGACTGTTACCTGTGTGTTCCGCCAGACCCTGGTATAGAGGCTGCTGCTCCAGGTGCTTGTGAGTCTGTTGCCCTGGGTGCTTGCGAGTCTGCTGCTCTAGGTGCTAGTGAGTCTGCTCTCTCAGGTACTGCGCCTGCTGAGGCCTTGTACACCTTCACGCTTGACTCAGGTGCCTCCCGCTGCTTCTTCCGCGACAGCACCACAGTCACACCGCTCTCTGCACCGGTTCCGGTCTCCCTTGCTGACCCCTCAGGGGGGACCTGTCCTTGCACGTTCCTCCACTGTCCTCCCCTGTCCGGCGGTCCCGTCTGGCTCACTTACAGGTCTCCACCTCCCCTCGTTCTCTACAAACCTGGTGAGTAACGCCGTCATCCAGGATGAGTGGGTTGACACCTTCACCCCTGGAGGACGTCGTGTGGCGATCTGCACGTGTGCCCGCACGGGCCGCCACCTGGCCACGTTCACCCGTCGGCCTGGGTCGAGTCTGTACACCCTGACTGTCGGGTCTCCCCAGGTTGCTGCTACTGGTCAGGTGTCCTTGTCCGGACCGGAGTCTGCCCCTTGCTTGTGTCGTCGCCTGTCGCACCAGACTCTCCTCTGGCACCACCGCCTCGGTCACCCCTCTCTGCCGCGCCTCCGTGGCATGCACTCCCGTCTGCTTGTCTCTGGTCTTCCCCAGTCGCTGCCGTCGCTCCCACGCTCGCCTGCCCCGCCGTGTCTTCCTTGCGTCGAGGGGCAGCAGCGCGCCGCTCCTCACTCCTCCTCGTTTCCCCCGACAACTGCTCCCCTGCAGACTCTCCACATGGACGTGTGGGGCCCAGCCCACGTCCGTGGACAGGGCCACGAGCGGTACTTTCTGCTGGTTGTTGACCGCTACTCGCGCTACACCACGGTCTTCCCCTTGCGCAGCAAGGGTGAAGTCCCTGCTGTCTTGATCCCTTGGATCCGCGCTGTCCGTCTCCAGCTCCGCGACCGTTTCCAGACGGACTTTCCCGTCCTACGTCTGCACTCTGACAGAGGTGGTGAATTTTCCTCCGACCTCTTGCGGGGCTTTTGTCAGGGGGAGGGCATCCTCCAATCGTTCACGCTTCCGGCCTCTCCACAGCAGAATGGGGTTGCTGAGCGCCACATTGGCCTAGTCATGGAGATCGCTCGCACCTCCATGATCCATGCGGCTGCTCCCCACTTTCTGTGGTCGTTGCGGTCCGGTACGCTGCGCATCAGCTCAACCTCTGGCCCCGTGTCTCCTTGCCGGAGACCTCGCCCACACTGCGTTGGACGGGGAAGGTTGACGATACGTCACGCTTCCGGGTCTGGGGCTCTTGTGCCTTTGTCCGCGATACCACCGCGGACAAGCTCTCCGCTCGCGCCATTCCCTGCGTCTTCCTTGGCTTCCCTACTGACGCGCCTGGCTGGCAGTTTTACCACCCCACCTCGCGTCGTGTTCTGTCCTCTCAGGACGTCACGTTTGACGAGTCGGTTCCCTTTTACCGTCTCTTCCCCTACTGCACTGCCACTCTCCCCCCCCCCCCCCCGCTCTTCCTCGCTCCAGGTCCGCCCCCGGTAGACCCCCTCCCCCCTCAGGGTCCTGCTCCCTCAGGTGTGTCCCAGGTAGACCCCCTTCCCCTGGTTGAGCCTGTCGAGGTCACTGGTGACTCTGGTGCTGCTAGAGGAGGTACTGCTAGGGGTCCTAAGTCTGGGGGTGCTGAGCCTGCGGGTGCGGGGCCTGAGGGTGCTGAGCCTGCGAGTGCGGAGCCTGGGGGTGCTGAGCCTGAGCGCGTGGAGCCTGGGGGTGCTGAGCCTGAGCGTGAGGAGCCTGGAGGTGCTGAGCCTGGGGGTGCTGAGCCTGAGCGCGTGGAGCCTGGGGGTGCTGAGCCTGGGAGTGCTGGGCCTGAGTGCGTGGAGCCTGGGGGTGCTGTGCCTGAGCGCGTGGAGCCTGGGGGTGCTGAGCCTGAGCGTGTGGAGTCGAAAACTGAAGGCAGGTCAATTGCAGCCGATTCCACCGCCCGAGCGCGCCTGGCAGCAGGTTACCATGGATTTTGTCACAGGGTTACCTTCGAGCCCTGGGGGTAACGATGCGGTAATGGTCGTCGTTGACAGACTGACGAAAATGGCTCACTTCGCTGCGTGCAGGCAGGAATTCGATCTCAGCCGAAGAAACCGCTCGCCTGTTCATCACGACCGTCGTTCGACTGCACGGGATACCAGCCGCGATAATCAGCGACCGCGACACAAAGTTCACTAGCAACTTCTGGAAGAACCTCTGGGAGCAGTTCGGGACCAGGCTACAGTTCAGCTCGTCGTACCACCCCGAGATAGACGGTCAAACGGAGCGGACGAACCAGACCACGGAGCAGCTGGTTCGTGCCATGTGCGACGACCCGACAACATGTGAGCAACAACTGCCGCTGATCGAGTTCGCATACAACAACGCCACGTCAGCGACAACGCAGCAGTCCCCATTTTACCTGAACTACGGGCAAAACTCAACAGCGCCCATGACGCCGAGTCCGGACAACCCCACGCCACGCGAACAACAGTTTGCCGAGATTCTGCAAGCTGCCCGAACCAGAGCTGCATAAGCAATTAAAAAAGCCAACGTCATCGCTAAAACAAACGCTGACCGCCACGGCCACCCAGTCACGTACCCGTTTGGAGATTACGTACTACTCGACACACGGAATTTGCGAGTGCCCGACGTACCGAAACTTCGACCGCGCTACTGTGGACCGTTCCAAATCAGCCACATGATCACCCCAGTTACCGCGCACCTACTGTTGCCGACTGGCTGGTACATCAGCCCATCGTTCCACGTCAGCCTACTTCATCCTTACATCCCAACCACAAGCCAATTGCCTCGTCAGCGCCCGCCATCCATGACTCGCCCTGCATCGGAGCCGATCATCGAGCCCGAGAAGATTCCGAGCCATCGGATTCGACACCCTACAGACATCAGGAGGATCGAGTTCCTCATTCGCTGGAAGGACCGCACGCCAACTGAAGATAGCTGGGTGCCCCTGGCCAACATCGAAAACCACCCTGCACTACAAGTGCCCCTGAGGCGCGATATATACGCACTCACATAGTAGAGAGGGCTTATTAAAGGGGGGGGGGGGGGGGGGGGGGGGGGGGGGGGGGGGGGGTAGTGTAAGGAATTTTCTCGACATTCCTTACAGCGACCGTCAACATCGCATACAACAACAGCTGTTGTTCGCCCGTTACTGCTAACGGGGCTTTGCCAATTTCGCACGCACTGTTTCACCAAACCATGCACTGCTGGCCCGGCCGAGTCAGCCTACGCTTCGGGACTAGCCCGAACCTCGATGCCAGCCTAGCACTAGCTAGCTCGCACGCACCGCGTTACCGTTTGCATGTTCGCACATATGTATTCGCTCAATGTCTTCGCTCATACTTTGTACTCGTTTGACACCTAGTGCAATCATCGCTTTCTCGTTCCATTGTACCCATAACAAGTGTACTAACTACTCCACCACATCTCGCTCAAATTGTGTATCGCTCGGAACAAGAATATTAATCTTGCACAAATTGATGTTTTGGGGGTAAAAAAAAAAAAAAAAAAAAAAAAACACACACACACACACACACACACAAACAAAAAAAACTGTTCCGAGGGGTTGGGCCAAATCAGACAAGCCACTTTTTCCAACACATTGCTCGAGTTTGCATCCACCTTCTCCACTATCAAACACTCAAATGCGCAAGTTAGGTAAACTTGCGCGATTTGGGCTGCAATATTTAATACATCCTTAAACTTGCGCAATTTGGGATGCGGGCTTGAATGCATCTTTTCTTTTTTAAGAATTTCAGGCATATAGAAAATAAGTTGCGCACTTCAGATGCAAGGCATAAGACTAAAATACCCGTCCTAAATATAAGATACATCCGTTGGGGAACTAAAATTATTTATATTTTGTTACAATCATTAATAAGACTTAGCCAGTGATCAGCTCAGGGTTGTTTACAAGTGGTGTTACAAGGGAAGGGTTGACCTCAGATCAGAGTGAATGTAAACGACTGAGATGATAAAAACACGCACACATCGAGTTTATATAGGAAATACAAAGGAATGCGAAACGACCTAGACTAGCCATGTACTCTAAGGGGTACATTCCCTTATTACAGCGAAATTCAAACCGTGCGGCGCAAGAACCCGTTTCAAACCTGTTCCCGCTCTTTTCACTTCAAATGTTTCTGCCTGCATCGGTCTTGATCTGACGGTTGCTGGTGTCGCATCGTCTCTTCTGACTCCTCGACTTCGTACTCGGTAGAGTCGGCTCCTGCAGCGTACAAGGATGTTTTCTCATAAAAATTCATATCTCAACATATTCTAAGGACATGGCCTAGGCCACCTTTGATCGCCCCGATCAGAGGCGATCAACAACTTCCTTGAAGCCATGATGCGAAGAAGCTAATTTCATGCAATCTGGGGCAATGAGTTGATCGTGATCAGTTGATCGCCCCAACTAGATTAAACGCCTCAATCAGCCTAATCAATCACAATCCCATACAATCAGTCACGATCAGATGATTTCATTGGATTGGTGTCCAAACAACTCCAACGAAAAGTTACAAAGTTACAGTATTTAGCTAAGCTCGTGAAATCATTGTGCATGCATTATTTGAAGTGTATTCTGCAATATTACATGGAAACAACAAATTTGCAAGGTCTTCGGTCTCGCTAAAGTTGGGGCGAAAATATCAAGAAATGCACACACGCCTGCTTGAGAGGCGCTTCGAAATTTCGATGAATATTGACACTGATCGAGCTGCGCATGTCAAGATAAGCGGTAGTCTTAGGAGCCATAGCTAGGAGAGTCCTAGCTAGGCAAGAGACAGTTTAGGCAAAAGAAGAGGGTTTTCACTAGCAGCAATGAGGATACATATAGCAAACCCTAGATGGGTTGTACTCGCTACAGAGCACCCCACTACAGGCTAGAGAATAACATTCTGACAGCGCAATCTATGCAATCACAAAGTAACCCAATTAGATCGGAAGAAAATACATAAGCGAGCAAACGATTCCACCCAGCGGAGCTCACTGCCAGCGGGAAAAATAATAAAAATAAAACTCATTCGAGCTAGACTACGGGCTAGGCACGGGGTAGGAGTGATCTCTGCGTTCGTTCCTTAGTTGTTTGCTCGTGTTCACAATACTTGCGCATTCACAGGGAAAATTGGCAAGAGTTTCACTAGCAAAGGTTCACAACAATGGTGTTAACAACATTGGCATGCATGACTACATCCCAGCTAGCTAGCAAGTTGGTCGACCTCCAGCGCAGCACGGTCGACCACCCTCCAGCGCAGCACTGCTCGCATCGCTCCAGCGCTGCAGGGACACGGCTTGCCAACGTTGCAAGTCCGTGGCGTGCCAACGCTGCATCAAGTCGGCTGCACAGCGTTGCACCCGCAGGACAACGGTGCACCTGCTTCGCAGGTGCGTGCAGCTGGTTGGTGCTCCACACCTCGTCACGAGCACAGCGCAGACGCCTAGCAGACTCCACGCCAGCGACTGCGCCCACCAGCCACGTCGACCTCGGGATACCACCCCCGAGGTCGCCTTCGCATAAACCATCCCGGCGGCTTTCGCACACGTCGCCCGGGCATCCCGGTCGACCGGGCAACCCTGCCTGGTCGTCCAGCCCAGTCGGTCATCGGCTACACCAACCCCGGCGTCCCAGGGTCGGCGTCCAGGCGCCCAAGACGCCGTGCAGACGCCCAGGACGGCGTCCACCTGCTCGGCGCCCTCCAGCCAGGCGCCCCCCCAGGTCAACGCCCTTGCAGTGGCCCCCGTACCCACTGCTGCAGGTCGGCTGCATCCCCCCGCACACCCGACCACGAGGTCGGCTCCGCCCAAGCGAGGACGGGGCCAAACACAACTCCCGTTGACACTCCCCTGCCGCTTACACGCTTGGGCCCCCAGCCCACACGGCAGCACTGCTCGGAGAATAGCTCGGCGGGCTGCACGCAACACACAGCACGCCGGACACCGCACCAGCCATGCAAGAGGGCATGGCACCTACTGCTGCACGTCGTTGTCGCCGTCGCCGACTTCGGCCAGGCGCACTTGGCCGATCGCAACGGAGCACCGGTTGAAGGCCGGGTAGTGCAGCGCCTTTGTCAGGAAGTCGGCCGGCTACGCGGTGGTCGGGATGTACCTCAACGCAAGCTTCCTGTGCTTCACCATGTGTTGCAGCCAGGCCTGTCGTCGCTCCATGTGCTTGAGGTTGCCCATCAGCCCTAGGCCCTCGGCGACCGTGATGGCCGACTTGTTGTCCACCCGAAGGTTAGTCGGCTTCTCGGCGTCCAGCTGCCGGAATTCCACCAGGAGGAAGCGAAGTCGGCGTCCTTCCTTCCCGGCTTCGGTGGCCGCCACGTACTCCGACTCGGTCGACGACAGCGTCGCACACTTGATGCGCTGGCTCGACCAGGAGACTGTGGCCCCTCCGTAGACGAACACGTAGCCTCCCGTGCTCGTCCGGTTCTGCTTGTCGCTGGCGTCGTCGGCGTCCACGTAGCCAACCAGCTCCAGCGACTCTGGCCCACCGCCGAACTCCAGGGCGGTGTCACGCGTGTTGGCGAGGTAGGCGAGGCAGCGGTCGACCTCGCGCCAATGCTGGTCGCTCCTCACCGTGAGGCCGCTCCCCAGCTTGCTGCAGGCGAAGGCGATGTCCGGCCTCGTCGTCGTCGCCGCGAACTGCAGCGAGCCGACCTTCTGTCGGTACTCCTCCTCCTGGCGCTCCTGTGCCTCCTCGTCGTCGAACGTCAGCTCGGCGTAGGCGTCGACGGAGACCGGCGTCTTCGGGGTGCGCCCAGTCTGCTCCTCGTCGATGAACCGCCTACGCAGCTTGTCGGCGTAGCCCTACTGGTGCAGCCACAGCTTCCTCGCCGACCTGTCGCGCACGATCTCCAGGCCAAGGTACTTCTGCATCGGCGAGATCTCCCGCAGCTCGAAGGCGGCCTCCAGTAGCTCCTTCAGCTCCTTCAGCATCTCGGTGCTGCTGCTGGCGGCGAGCAGGTCGTCGACGTAGACCAGCACCCAGCAGGCCACGTCGTCCGCGCCGACCTTGAAGTACAGAGCCTCGTCGACCTGGCTCTTCTTCCACTCGGCGCCTACCAGTACGTCGTTGAGCGCCTTGTACCACAACAGCGGTGACTGCTTCAGCCCGTAGAGGCTCTTCAGCAGCTTGCACACCCGGCCGGTCCCGTCGTTGAAGTAGTCCGGCTGGTACATGTACAGCACGCGGTCGAGCTTGCTTTGCAGGAAGGCGTTCTTCATGTCGAGCTGCATCAGGTGCAGGTCGAGGACGGCGACGATGCTGAGGAAGATTCTCAGCGTGACATAGCTGCTCACCGGCGCGTACGTCTCGTCGTAGTCGGCGCCATACACCTGCGTGAAGCCTTTCACGACCAGCCTCGCCTTCTCGCGCTCGACGGTGTCGTCGATGCGGTACTTCGTTGTCAGCACCCACCGGTTCTTCATAGTGTTCAACCCCGGTGGGCGTTCGACCAGCTCCCAAGTGCCGTTGCTGATGAGGCTGCGGATCTCCTCCTCCATGGCGGCCTTTACCGCCGTCCCCTTCCAGCTCGCCAATGCCTCCTTCACCGTCATCGTCGCGATGTCCCAGCGGTGCTCGGGGTCGGCGTGCATGTCGGGGTCGAGCTCCGGAAACTCCTCATCGTCCTCGGCGTCGTCGTACGCCAGGTCGTCGTCGTCCACATCGTAGACCGTGGTGAAGGCAGCGGGGACGAAGAAGTCAGGCGGCCTCCGAAGTCGGCCTGTACGCCGTGGTCCACCCGAGACTTCCTCCACGTCGCTATCGGTGGACTCCTCGGCGTCCTTTCCACTGTCACTGTCGTCGCTGCACTCAGCGTCCTGCTGCCCCACGGTCGGCGTCCCCGCCGACTGCTCCCCTGAAGTCGGCTCTCCTGCCGACTGCCCGGTCGCCGACTGCTCCGTGGTCGGCTTCGCTGCCACCTGTTCCCCTGTTAGCTGCTGCCTTGCCGTCGTCGGCTGCACTTCCTCGGCGACCTGCTCCTCCCCTGCCGGCGTCGACTGCACTCTCACGTCGACGTGCTGAACGTCATGTCGGCCACCGGTGATGCCCTTGGTCGGCGCCACAGGCGACGCCCCACCGCTCCCCTCATCGCCGGAGGCCGACACCGGGGGCAGCCCACGCAGGTCGGCGACAAGGGGAGGGGCAGGAAGGGCAGGGGAGAGGAAGGGAGAGGGGACATCCTCGGCGTCCTCAGCAGCAGACGCACCGACCTCGGCGAGCAGAGGGAGCGTCGCCGCCGAGGTGTCCGTCGGGGGCGCGGTTGGCGTCCGGCCCGATGCCGGCCCATGCGCCCACGTCCACACGTCTAGTGACAGGTCCTCGTAGAACACCACGTCCAAAGTGGTGACCACCCAGTTGGCGGCGATGTCGAGGAGCTCCCAGCCCTTGCTTTCCTCAGACACGCCGAGGTGAAGGCTCCACCTGGCCGTCGGCTGCAGCTTCCCACCACGCTGCTGCTCAGGGACGAGAAACTGAGCCATGCAGCCCCACACCCGCGCCAGCGACAAGTCGGGCTTCTTCCCGGTAAGCAGCTAGTACGGCGTCGTCCCCAGTAGCAGCGCCAAACTCTCAAGGTAGTTTCGGACCCAGACGGCCTGCCGCAGAGCGAGGTGCCACCAGTGGTGCGGCACAACCATATGCAGTAGCATCGTCCGCACCAACTCCACCACCGTCCGCATCTCCCGCTCTGCCATGCCGTTCTGCTGCGGAGTGTAGGGGCAGGTGAGGTCGTGAAGAATCCCCTTGCCGTCCCCTAGCCTCTCTCCCCGCAGCAGCTGCGTGAGTGGTACACTCGACGCTACTGCCATTCGAGTGGCGCTGCTGGTGCTGGGGGCTCGGCCACTGGAGCTACTGGAGCCGTCGGCCCTGCCGCTGGAGACGCTAGAGCTCGAGACACTGGGACTGGAGGTCCTAGTGCTGGAGGTGCTGACGCTGGAGTTCCTGGTGCTGGAGACTCTGGGGCAGGAGGAGTTGGACCTGGTGACGCTAGTCCTAGAGGTGCTGCTGCTGGTAGTGCTGTGCAGCGGCGTCTGATCTTCACTCCGCCGTCGCCATCGTCTCTCCCGCCGCCTGAATCCGTGCTTCGTCAGGTTCTTACCCTCCCGTCTTCTACTGGCCTCCCGTTACAGCCTGGCTCTCCACTGCCTGCTCATTCTCCTTACACTGAGCAGACATTCTCGCTTACAGAGCGTCGTGAGCCTGCGTCTCGTCCTGCCTCGCCTGTTCGCGCCGCTCGCACTGCTCGCCGTGTCCCGCGTCCGCGTCCTCCTCCTGTGCCGGGCACTCACACCATGGCACTTCGTCCCTCCTCTGCTCCGCAGCGCGTCCCACTGCCGTCTCCTCCTGCGTCCTCTCTTCCCGAGCTTCCTGAACCTGAGTCTGACGCTGTTTGTGCTGCTAGTCCCACCGTCACGCGTCTTCTGGCTACTGTTGTCACTCACCGGTCGTGTGACTCTGCTGCTGCGTCTGCCTTAGTTGCTGAGCTCGTTGACTTTGCTGCTGTGTGTCGTCTAGACTACGCTGCCAGTCTTGTTGCTGAGTCTGCGTCTGTCTGTCCTCCGTCCGTCGGGGGTGAGTGTGCTCTTGGCACGGACGTCCTTGAGGACAGGCAGGAGGAGCTCGACTGTCTTGCAGCTGCTGTACCTCATCTCGTGGCCTGGCTGCTTGCCCCTGAGGGAGACCCGGATGCACCAGACATCCCGACCCCGCGCTCTTACACAGAGGCGATCTCGGGTCCCTACTCCTCTCAGTGGCAGACAGCCATGGATGCAGAGATGGCATCCTGGAAGTCCACAGGCACCTACGTCGACGAGGTTCCCCCTCTTGGGGCGAACATCGTCGATGGCATGTGGATTTTCAGGGTGAAGCGGCCGCCGGGTTCTCCGCTTGTCTTCAAGGCTCGTTACGTTGCACGAGGCTTCAGTCAGCGACAGGGAGTTGACTTCTTCCAGACCTTCTCCCCTTACCCGAAGATGACCACTCTTCGGGTGCTGCTGCACGTTGCCGCTCAGCGTGACTACGAGCTTCACTCACTTGACTTCAGCACAGCGTTCTTGCAGGGCAGCCTGCACGAGGAGATCTGGCTGCGCCGCCCTCCTGGCTTCACTAGGTCGTTCCCTCCCGGTACCCAGTGGAGCCTCCGGCGCCCAGTCTACGGTCTCCGCCAGGCACCTCGTGAGTGGCACGACACACTGAGGATGACGCTTGCGGCACTTGGGTTTGCTCCTTCGACTGCAGACCCGTCGCTGTTCCTCCGCACCGACACGTCCTTACCGCCGTTCTACATCTTCGTGTACGCTGACGACCTGGTCTTTGCTACTGCTGAGACTGAGGCACTCGCTCTTGTGAAGTCGGAGCTGCAGAAGAGACACATGTGCACAGACCTGGGTGAGCTGCGCAGCTACCTTGGCTTGCAGATCACCCGGGACAGAGCACGCCGCACCATCACCTTGACTCAGTCACACATGGTGCAGCACGTCCTTCAGCGCTTCGGCTTCCAGTTCTCCTCACCACAGTCCACTCCTCTGTCTACCGGTCACTCGCTCTCAGCTCCACCTTCGGACGAGTCAGTAGAGCCGAGTGGCCCGTGCTTAGAGCTTGAGGGCTGCCTCATGTACGTGATGACCTGCACTCGACCTGACCTTGTGTACCCTCTTAGCATCCTGGCTCGCTACGTTGCGCCTGGGAGGCACAGGCGAGAGCACTGGGAGGCTGCTAAGAAGGTGTTGCGCTACTTGTGCAGTACATCAGGCATGGGGCTGGTGCTTGGAGGACGGGGTGACGTTGTCCTCACTGGACACTCAGACGCCTCTTGGGTTGATGACCTGGCTACGCAGCGGTCGTCGCAGGGTTACACCTTCAGCCTTGGTTCTGGTTCTGTCTCTTGGCGGTCTACCCGTTCGTCTTCTGTTCTCAGCTCCAGTTGTGAGGCTGAGATCTACGCCACAGCCATGGTTGCACAGGAGTTACGCTGGCTCACTTACCTGCTGACTGACTTGGGAGAGCGGCCGCGTTCTCCTCCAGTTCTGTACGGCGACAACAAGACAGCCTTTGCCTTGTGTCAGGAGCACAGACTGGAGCACAGGACAAAGCATATCGCTCTACGTTAGTTTCTTGCTCAAGAGCTACAGCAGCGCGGCCAGCTTCGCCTTGCTTACGTGGACACGCGGGCGAACACAGCTGATATATTCACCAAGGCACTTCCGCCTAGTGATCATCAGCGTCACTGCACTGCTCTAGGTCTTGTGCCAACATTCTCACACTTGCTTACTGCTTGACCTTGCTTGTACTGTGATTCATTATATATACCTGCATGCCTACACTTGCTAGGTAGTGATCACTGTTTTGCTTGCTCTCTCTTATATAACAGTGCTTGTGAACTGGCCTTGTGGCCCTCTTTGCTTGTGCTCAGAATGTGTGGTGACGTTGGGATCCACCCTGAGCTTGTTTTGCTTCTCTTGACTGGTCTTGTGACCGCTTTTTCTCCCCAACTTTGCCTATGGGGGTGTGTCAAAACTGTATTTGTTGTTTGTACGGTATGTTGTAGGCTACAGTGGGGTAGCCACTAAGGGGTACAACTCCTTAAGGGTTTCATACTTGT